TTGGTACATTCCTCTTATTAACCGAGTACTGTAAGTTACGGACCGAGTACAAGGTTCAATAATAGTATTGACGGAGATAACGAGTCTAATAATGTATTTATCATATGTCTGGTTTCAAATACAGAGGGAAGTTCCAGTTCAAACATACTTTTGAATGGTGAAAACTGGCTAATTTGACCAATCGTAGCGCACGTACCAGCTGTATGTGTACCAACTGGGCAACGCTGGAAATCTCTAATTAGCTTAACACTGTACATAAAATTAGGTGGGCATTAGGATTTGAAGTTTTGCAGTTTGGACTATTTTTTAGATCGGTTTTTCGGCTTTGGTGTTCGTTGTGGATTTTCCGTTATTTAGAAGTTGGTTTTCGGTTTTCGTCAAAAATACTAATGGGTTTTCGGATTTGGTATTCGACATGGGTTTCGGTTTTTCATAGTTGGGTTTCCGGTATCTTTTCGACTTAGCTGCAGTGATGCGCCTCCAGTGATCTCCAACAGCCGCGAATCCTCTGTGTCCTCCGCTTGTCACCAATGTTTCTAATCGATTATGGTTTTAATATCTGAGATGTGAAAAATTATCGGTTTTGCAAGCGGAATTTGGTTTTGATCAATTTTTTTTGTTTTTTTGTTTTTTGTTTTTTTTTTGCGGTCACGCGGTTTTTGATAAGTTTTTTCTACGGTTTTGGGGTTTCTACTAGACCCCAATGACTCCCTCTTAACATGTCACGTACTGATATCGTGCAATTTATTATCAAGTCAGTTCAGCCTGTCAAATGATGGCATGATATTACTTGGATGTATGACCGTAGCACGTGGTACAGTACAGTAGCGTTAAGGCTCGGCAATTTTGAGAGTGTCAACGACACAGCATATCACTTAAAAAAAAAGGATTATGTTTTATCGCAATCATCTGTTCTGTAAAATTTTGATACTGACAGGGGTAAACTGAAAAGATAATTAGGAAAGTGTGACCGCTGGCGGTATCTCCTGCATTAAGCAAGCAGCGGTAGATTGGATCGGAGAGATTTTCTCCTAAAGTGAGTTGAATAAGTGGGAAATTGACGCAGATGGGTGCCATTTGTAGACACTTTAAAATTGCAAAAGCATGATCCATGAAAGATGAGACCCTATCGCTATCGCTGACAAACATGCCCCACTGAAAACGATGCGCGTTCGTTCACGGAGTTCTCCGTGGATTACCTCTGAATTGAAAGACCTTATGCATAATAGAGACATATTAAAAATCAAAGCTAGCAAGACAAATGATCCTAACGATTGGGCATTATTTAAGAAACAAAGAAATATAGTCAATAAGCAAATACATCTTTTCGACTTAGCTGCAGTGATGCGCCTCCAGTGATCTCCAACAACTGCGAATCCTCTGTATCCTCCGCTTGTCACCAATGTTTCTAATCGATTATGGTTTTAATATCTGAGATGTGAAAAATTATCGGTTTTGCAAGCGGAATTTGGTTTTGATCAATTTTTTTTTTTTTGCGGTCACGCGGTTTTTGATAAGTTTTTTCTACGGTTTTGCGGTTTCTACTAGACCCCAATGACTCCCTCTTAACATGTCACGTACTGATATCGTGCAATTTATTATCAAGTCAGTTCAGCCTGTCAAATGATGGCATGATATTACTTGGATGTATGACCGTAGCACGTGGTACAGTACAGTAGCGTTAAGGCTCGGCAATTTTGAGAGTGTCAACGACACAGCATATCACTTAAAAAAAAAGGATTATGTTTTATCGCAATCATCTGTTCTGTAAAATTTTGATACTGACAGGTGACCGCTGGCGGTATCTCCTGCATTAAGCAAGCAGCGGTAGATTGGATCGGAGAGATTTTCTCCTAAAGTGAGTTGAATAAGTGGGAAATTGACGCAGATGGGTGCCATTTGTATGAAAGATGAGACCCAACGGCCTTATGGGAAATGTTCGGGCAGACATATAATTAGTGTCATTCTTAAGAAACCTTTGTTATGATCATCCTTTTCTTTTAGGAAAGAGTGGATTGCTTCCATCATATTCACCACGTACAAATGGTGTTATGATCATGTAAATGTGTACCTAGAGAGCTATAGGGTTCTCATCGTTCATTGTATATTGAACCTTGCCAATTCCTTAAATGAAATCCTAGTTTCTCTGAGAAATTTTTGTGGTATCACAGGTGATTTACCACTTTCATAGGCGGCTACATTTCTTTGGGTCTGCGAAGTTCAGGACGATCTGTCAAGCAGTGTATAGCACTGCTGAATGTGTATTATCAGGCAATAATTCGTAGACTTAATGAAACAAACTTTGTGAATAAACAGGTGCGACTTACACATATCTAGCTTGCTGAACTCTGTTTGACTAAGTTGTTGGTATTTCTAATGTAAATTTAGACCTATTTTGATCGAGAAACGCCACAGAGAATGTCATAAAAAACTGAATGTTTTTAAGTGAGTTTTCCTTATTTAAGATGATATTTACTCAGTGTGACTAAATTGCTGAGCGTTAACGCATAAACTCAAAACAACAAGATGAGCCCTTCGTAGTTAGCAAGGCGGAAAAAACGCTTACGTATTGACTGGAGAGAACATTACGCACTGTGACATGAAAAAACAAACAACATCTTAATTACGTCGATAAGCTCTGGAAACCCGACTCAAAAGTTTATTTTACGCCACGGTGTTTCTTGCACTACGGTTTTTCTTGCACCAGGTGATCACTCACTGAAATTAGCCTCTTCAAAAATGCCTCGACCAAGAGTCGGACCACTGACCTACAGGAAGTATTTTGGACGCTTAAGCTTCATGTTGCAAGTATCCTGCATTCCCAAGTAATGGGATTTCGAAATAGTCGCTCCTTTCACGTGAATGAAAAAGAAGAGGCTCTGTTACAGAAAGAAACCAATTTCCTTCGTTTTTTCTGTTTCTGGGTTTACCATATTTTCGCCCCGATCGTTCACGAAAAAAATGACCGACCGTCTCAGAAAAAAGTGAGAAAGATTTATCTTTTGACAGAGACCACATGTTGCTAAATTCTTGCAAAAAAATTGTCACACGAGCCTATGAAGAAAGATAAAGTTACATCTGATATTGCCTCAATATTGGCAAACAAAAGGTTGCATTGAACAGGTTCCTATTTCAGCGTTGCCGAGACCGACTGAAACGTATGATGCAAATATCACTTGAGCAAAGCTAAGGGAAAAAACGGTGAGTGGTTCCGGATGTCTTACTGGAGTAGGTTGTCAGCTGCGAGGCGAAAGTGGCGTTTTAACCCGCGACAAATGGCAAGTACAGCTAGACAAATATCAAAACAACCAATTACCCCTGAAGAGATAAAATTCATAGAAACGTTGAGGCTACATGACTGGTGATT